TCAATTAAAAATAGATACAGGCCTTCTCCACACCTCGAAACTTGACTCGATGGCTTCATTTTGGTTTTGCTGTTTAAAAAATAAACTGGGTGACACCAATCGCAAAGACACTTGCACTGACAAAGTCCACCCTGCCCGGAAGACCTGGCTTCTTTGCAAACACTCTGGAGCCCCCAGTTTTTTGGCTTTTTTGAGACAGAGTCTTGCTCTGTCACCCTGGCTAGAGTGCAGCGGCGTCATCACAGCTCACAGCAACCTCCAACTCCTGGGCTCAATCCATTCTCCTGCCTCAGCCTCCTGAGTAGCTGGGACTATAGGTGCACACCACTACACCTGGCTAATTTTTCTCTTTTTAGTAGAGACCAGCGCTTTTGCTCAGGCTGGTCTCGAACTCCTACCTAAAGCGATCCTCCCGCCTCGGCCTCCCAGGGAGCTGGGATCACAGGCGTGAGCACCTTGCCAGGCGGAGTCCCCGTTTTAACTGACCCTGGGATTTTGTGGCAAGAACAGTTCACAGCACCAGTCCATTTGAACACATCAGCACGAGGCTCGTCTCTTCAGCTCACCCTAATTAGTTTAGTCCTGTGGTCACGAACCCGAATCCCACAGCAATGGGGAAAATATCAGCAGGCGCCTGTGCACAGAATCACAATCAGTCCCTGTCCTGCCGCCTCCCGAATCACTCGATAGTCTCTATTTTGCTGCCACAACAAAGGGGCTGCTGTTCACAAACCTCCCTGTGGAGGGCAGCAAAGAGCAGCGGTTCTCCGACCAGGAGCCGCAAACTCCAAGATTCTGCAGCACATTGATCCTTCACTTACCTGCACCCTGGACGTTGTCTTCAAAGGGTCCCAAGCAAAAAACCAGCTGCTCTTCTTCCCACTGTCTCAGCAGAGCCCCCAAAGCTGAGACTGGCCAAGAGCAGCCAAACCCTGCCATGTCCCGGAGCAGGCGGCTGGGCCACCCCTGCAGGAATCCCCCAGAAGCGAGACATGGGTTCCCCAGGGCGGACCATGACCCACCCGGCCTGCAGATGGGCTTCACAGCTTCTGTGGCAATTCGGTCAGCGCTGCTCCTCGAGGCACTTCCTCCCCACTCGCAGGTCACCTGCCTCACCCAGGCCTTGGGCCTGGATGGCCCTGACTTCTCAGTGTCAGGCACGCAAGAACCCTCGCGGCCCGTCAGTAGCTCCTGGCCTCCCCACACCCAGCCCTCACCTGGCTGTCGGCCCCCAGGTCCTCAGCCCTGTCTGTGGCTGCCTTCTGGGTCCCCTGCACGTGCCTTCACAAAGCTCCCAGCCCTCCTGCCACCTGCCTCGTGTCCAGGGCTGTTTCCTCGCCTCGGGGTCCTGGGAGCATCTTCCTTGCACGGCCCCTGGCCCCAGCAAGCACCTCTGAGGCCCCCAGTCGGGTCCCTTCCACTCTCGTAGGCCTCTACACCATCCCACAGCAGCTGAGGGAGGGATGCGATCCCCCGTGGCCCCCTCGTACAGGCCTGGTCCACACCTGCTGGCCCCTGCACCCCCGAGCCTGAGAGGGGCAGGGCGCCACCACCCACGGGTGGCCCAGGCAGCATCTGCTGGTTCACATGGGTGAAGGACTGCTTGCTGAGTCCCAGGAAGGGGACGCCTTATTACCTAGTGTGCTGTAAATGATGGCCACAGGGTTTCCTGTGGCAAAATACATACAACAAACACTGACATTGTCACCATTTTGAAGTGTGCAATTCAGTTGCCCACCAGTTTCAGGATTTGCAATCTAGTTGTTTCGGGGATGCCACTACCATCTTCCCAGAATCCCCTGCTTTGCAAAGCCCTAATTTCTCAAGCAGAACTGATCCAACTGGTGTGTTTCATGACGCTGATGAGCACGCCCCCACCACGGCTCAGGAACTGGAAGGCACCCTGCGGTGTGGGCTGTCAAACTTCCACAGGGATGTGTTATTAAAGGAAACGTGATATATTTAAAGATACACATGTATTAACAGCTCGGTGGCCCAATATAAAAACAAGATGACTGCTGTTCAGGATGCTCCACTTCAGCATGGCCCTTCCTGAGAACATCGGGAGACGACCTGTGGGTAAAGATGCCCCGACCTTGCTCACCTCCGCGCTGCCGCCAGCTTCCACCGTGAGAATCGGACGCCAGACCGAAGGCTTGGAGAGCAGGTCCGACTCAACAAGCACAAGCACATGGCGCCCAGGAGGAATCCACATGAAAAGTCTTTCCTTCCTCCAATAGAGGCTGGCTCAGTCATCGTGACTTTGGTGCAGCTGTGGTTAGGAGGTCACCTATCTTGACCGCCTGTGGCCATACTCATAGCCCAGGCCACCCCACAGACATGTGGGGCACCTTCAGGCATCCCCCACTTCCCACCCCAGGCACCACCAGACCCTCAGCTGTGTCCTACCAAGATAGACCCTGGCTAGGAAAGCAAATGACCTTGAAGTTCCCGAGGGAGGCGGCTCCGGCCTCTGCACCCTGGCAAGCCGGCCACCAGCTTCTTCCTGGCCTGGCCTGCCCTGTGCCTCACGGAGACGGCAGCCTGCTGTGTCCTCGGGCCCTGCTGCCCCTGCAGACCCACCTGCTTAGCTGGGGTAAGGTGACCCAGGCTGCCAAAGGCCCACATCTGCCTCTTTTATTTTCTGGGAGGCTCCTGATTAAAGCAATCCCTTTTATTACTAAAGAAACGTCACATCAGGTATCATAATAATAGTCACGTTTGATCTGGCTGAGTTTAAGAAAAGATATCATACCTTTTTATAGAAGCGAGGGGATTACAAACACTGGGTTTCGCTTCTGCATCAGCAAACTTACGGTTGGGACCTGCCTGCAGTATGGGCTGTAAACACAGTCCCGCACAACCTCAACACTCTTCTCGAACTTCTAGAATACCAGTACTCTGGCTTCCGAACCTCTCTTCTTTCTTCCATCTCTAAAGTCCCCTGGGAATTTCAAACTTTCAAGGGAGACTCCCATTTCACAACAAGAAAAAGACCCTTTTTTCTTTAAACAGTTCACATTTATTATAGATAACAATAAAAAAATCTTTTAAAGACTATCAGTATTGTATTACCAAGAGTGAGGTAATATGTTTACAAAACATTTACAGAATTTGATATGCAAATGACTTTAGGAAGGAAAGTGAATTAAGACACTAGTAATAGAGGGAAAACCAAAGAATCATTAGTACTGAAAACAGGGAAATGACAGCAGCATTGTAAAGAGTGGCAAGGTGCTAGGAGTAAGAGACGTAACACGAACCGCACACTCAAGCCACAGACGCCCCTTAACTTCCTTACAAGGAGAATGAGGTGGTACGTTACTCAAGAGTCAACCCTGTGAGCGTTTGTGCGGTCATGTGCTTTGAACTCGTAAAGATGCACTGGACTCTATGGGGTAACACAGTGCCACCCCTGAATCAACTTAAAAGAACAGATCTTCAGCCTGGGGGTGGGGGGATTGCTGCAATTCAAATAGTTCTATAAACATCTCTGGGCACATGAGGACTGTTGAGTGGAGCGTTTTCTTGGCAGCTGTCAGCAAAATCGCCATCTGAGACACAAGAAAGAGAGAAGAAAGAGAAAGCAGGGGACCATCTTCAGGTCCTTATAATTTGGAAACAGGAAGCACGAGTGGCATCGGCACAGAGGCACTGACTAACCCTGCCGTGATTTGGGGGGACGGGCTTCAGGTGTCAATGAGGAGCTCACCCTCTAAAAGGAAACGCATGGCTGTGGTCCAGGAAGGCAGGCAATCCCAGAAGAGGCCCAGGAACGTCTTCAGTGTGCAGGCAGCCACGGAGGGCTCACCTGACAGATGAGGGGCTTCTTGGTCTCACCCCAGCCCTTCCAACCCCCCATGGGGCACACAGCCTCCAAACAGCTCTGTGGTCACACAGCACCCACCTAGCACCTTCAGAGTGGAGCTAAGACAACACAATCAAGCATGTACGTGCCTACCATGCACACAGACGATGGCTGTGTAGGTTTTGGCACATATCTTTAAAAGCACAGCCTCTGCCACACACAAAAACACACATCACATGTCTTTATCATGGAGGCTACCCCTATGCAACTTCTGGACAGATTCACAAATAACCTGCTTTTCCCATAAAAAGGTGGAAAAAAAAAAAATGAGGGCCTGTACAAGATAGAGCAGCTTTGTCATTGGGAATCAAAACATAAATGTAAAAGGCAAACTAATCCCACACTCTGATTTGCTTCTATGAAGCATCCTTTGTGACTTGACCTAAGTTTCTATTTGCCCCCTGCCCACCAGCACCTACTGCCACGCATGTGCACACACGAACAAGCACACGCTTGCTCACACGCACACACGCAAGCCCACAATTTCCATATACAAAGCAGGGCTCCTACAAGCCACATGCCACCTGAGTGGCAACGCGGGCGTATGCTGGTTAGCTAGAACCAGCACTGCGGAGTGTCGACATGGCAAGTGTGACTACTCTGTTTCCAAAATACCCTTCCAGCGACTGGAAGGGCCACCTGGTCTCTGAGGGCAGAAAGCCACTAGAGAGCACAGAGGAGATGATCTACAACGCGTTTGGAACATGCTGCAGTTAAGAGCGACACAGAAGAAAAAAGGGAAAGAATCCCCTACACAAGTTAACACAGAAAAATCCTGCTCGGAAAAATATCAGAGATTTGAAAAGGAGGAAAGAGAAAGTAATGTTTAATGATGGCGGCATTTTCCTGGAGTCGCAGGGAGTCCCTCCTGAGGCCCCAGCACCCACTTCAGAACAGTCAGGGGATGGGGCGCGGGACTGGGTGCTCCGAGGGCTGCCTCTGAATTCTCAGAGGAGGGACCTCGAGGGCTGTCACTGAATTCACAGGCCATCTCGACTAACCGCAAGGAGACGTGAGAACTACGATGCAGTTTAGGGGAAACAGGTTGGCAGCTTCTGCTCCGTGGGAGAGGTGGGGCTCAGCTCTGGAGGATGTAACAGGAATCCACCCACTAATGGACAATGCAGAGTTTGTTGGAAAAATTTTTTGCATCAATATTTGAAATAAAGTCAATCTCTTAATTGGTATATAAACTACTTTTCTTTGAAGAGAGCCCTTGTGCTCTGGTTTGATTTTGTGCACACTGTATACAAAATCTATGGCTATTGAGTTAAAGTTAGGGTGAGCATTAAAACTACCTGTCAAGATAGCTTTGGGATCAAATGACTACATTAACCATCTGGAGAGCTATCTGCTATCTAGAGGTGAGGAGTCGGCACAGTGTCGCCGCTGGGCGGGCGGGCAGAGCGTGGCTGGCTGTCCAAGCAGGTGTGGCCATCCCCTCCGCACACTAGGCACAGGCGTCGCAGCACTACCTGGAAATCATGGAGCTGGAGTGGGACTGGCTGGAGGAGGTGGTGGCAGCACTCAGCTGGGAGAACCCACTGTGGCTGGACTCCAGGCTGGTCATTGAACCTCTGCAAACAGCACAGGGAGGGGACAAGGCATGAGGACCCACCTGTAAGTCGCCCACCTGCTCTCTGCCCGCTCCACTCCGTCCCCATCAGCACTTAGAAAGTGGAGGTGGGTTGTAAGTGTCCCACCAGGGGGAGCGGCTTCCCGTGGCCTGCACACGGACATCGCAAAGCAAGCAGAAGCAAAGTCTGCTCCACCTCCCTGACGCTCTCGCCTGCGCATGTGCAAGGAGTCTCAGCTCCAACAGCTGACCCCAAAGCTACTCCCTGAGTATCCCTAGGACCTGCTGTCACTGTTGACCCTGTACATGGCACAGAACTGCAGCCTTCTCCTGACCGCACCTAGCTCTCGCAGCAGCAGCTGCTGTGGCAGGGAGCCATACCTGAAATCCTCAGAGCCGATCACTTCGGTGTAGTACATCACTTTACACTTGTGAGAAGAGACCTGCAGGGAGGCCAGCACGTCGTCCACCCGGGGCAGGTTGGTCGCAGCACACGCAGGCATGCTATGGAATTTCCACTGCAGAATGTAGAAGCCCGGCCACCTGGTCACATGTGAGCCCTAAAACAAGTAAGGTAGTGGCAGCTGAGGAAGACTTCCTTCCGATCCCAATACTGAATGGTCTGAGCACTGCCAAGGGCAGGTGTCTCTGAGTCTCATTATTTAACAGCAATTATGTGCCCATGTCGATGAGATCAAGGACCTGCTATTATTTGGGTTCACTGCCAGGAATTCAACAATGTCCTTCCACCTACTGAACGTGGCAAGGCTCTGCCTGTGCTGGAAAGGCCGCAGGGACAGACTCTGTGTCTGCAGCCCTGGTGAGGCGACGCCCCCATGGGGAGGAAGGCCACATGGAAGCAGGTGCCTGGCAGGTGGCAGAGCTCTGCAGGAGCCCTCCGCTTGAGCTGGGGGGCTCAGCAGAGGTCCTCTGGACCAGGCAGTTCCTTCTCTGACATGCTTCTAATCATCTACCGGCACATTCTGGGTTAAAAGGATGTCAATCTATAGTCAATCTAAGTCAATTTATGAAAATTACTTTCTCCATTAATTCTGGATTTAAAAATTGTGATAATACAGCTTAAAATGTTCATTATTTTAAAAATTGGATAAAACATTCTCTCTTAATCTGCATCTAAGACCACTAAAACACTGGCAGGCTTATCCCTGAAAACTGTAAAGGCAGCAAAATTATGCATCTATTATGAAGGCCAAAAACAACCAGAGAACTACCATTTGAGCACAGGCACCCAAAATAACTGGCCAAAATGTTAAAAATGAACTGACAGCATTTTTAAACAAATTAGAGTGTTTGGTAATGAGAGTTAATAGTTCTCTAAGTACTTGTTCCTCTCACTTCTATTTAGTGTGATTTTCCTTTGAAAAAGACAAACGCAACACGGTCAAATTATGTCTCAGTGAAGTCTTCTGAAACCCAGCTGTCTATGTGCATATAATGCTCTTTCCTTCCTGTCACATGTTGCTTTTGAGAAAATTCATGTGCTTTAGATACAAGTCATGGATTCTGTCCAAAACCACTGCTTAGGCTTGAGCTCTTTCTCTTCTAAGACTCACTGGGCTTCCGGAGCCATTCCGGCTGTCGAGAAGCAGAACTACAACTGGCCACCCCTAAGGGCTCTCCACAGATGCACGGTACCTCGAGAAGCCACACAAGCTTCTTCAAGGAACGAAGCAAAAGACTCCTCTCGAGAGAGTCGCCTGCTGCAGAGAATCTCAGAGGCGTCGTGTTACCTGCACGCTTTCTCCTTCTTTGCAGATGAGAGGCGACTCCACCATGCTGTAGTCACGGCCCAGCTGCCAGACTTTGTCTATGAGCTGCACATTGTTCCCGCCTGGAGAAGTGATGCTGTGGGCCCCCAGGGAGTCCTTTTTGGGTGGCTGTGGTGATCTCTTGGAGTGATAGATGTTAAAGACAATGTCCCCTTTGCACACGTCAAAATCCCAAGTGATCACCGAAGAGGCATCCACAATCTGAATGAGAATCTGGAAAGAGAGACTGCATCAGACAACCGAGATCCATGAGCATGAGCCCCACACCGATGCTGTGACAACACCATCCCCTCCAGGGCCTTCTCAGTCCAGACGTGTATGAGCTTGGGGGCCAGGGGACACAGATCCCTGTGGGCGAGTCTCTTTACACAGAGTCACTTGACCATGACCATCCAGCCTTCCCACCCACTCTTTTCATTCTTTCGACCAGTGGTTCCTGCTATGTGTGTCATGTACCAAGTTCTGTGCTGTGCTCTAAACCCACAGTCCAGAGGTTTCCAGCACATGACCTGCAGACAGCATTCTAAGAGACTGGGTCTTAACAGCACAGCACGGCAGCACTGTGGGGCTGCACGGGAAGGCTCAGTGGACTGCTCTCAGCTGCAAAGCACCAGAAGGCCCTAGAGAAGGTAGAAGCTCAATAAACAGCAGGCAGAGGAGCCACAGGGCAGTGTTCCGAGCCAGGGGTGAGGCAGGAGCCAGGCATGGGCCTGCCACAGTGAGGGGTGCTCGAGGGCATGGTGTGGGCAGGGTGGGAAACGCCCCAGCTGTGGAGTGCCAATCTAAAACCTGAACTTATGCTGCAATGATAGAAGCTTCCCAGCAGGGAATGATCAAACTTAATAGTTTCAAAAGATTGGTGTGGGAAGGATGTGAGGATTAAAAGCAGCTGCACAGAGTTCCGTAGTCACTGAAAAGGAAGCAGAGGAGCAGGCCCTGCCCCTTGCCCCTGCAGCTGCCTGTCAGCCTCCACCGGCACCCACCGTGCCCTCTGCACTCGCTGCTCTGCACGCCGGACACCTTCTTCGATCCTACCACTGCCACTTCTCACCACTAAAATGCCACTTCCGAATGTCCTTAAACAGATTCATGAACAGCAGGTGGCTCTACATGGCACAGACAACTATCTCCAGCAAAGTGGCTCCCCAGGACAGATCCATCCTGAGACCTTGTCCCCATCCTGACAGGCACTTCCTTCCTGCATTCGCAGTGGGGATAGTTAATTCAGCCTTCATTTCAGGTGTGTTACTTTCTTGGATCTGTACTTTGAATAATCCCCAAAGCAGAATTGCAGTTTTTACCATTTTCACGTTTACACATGCTCTGTGACTCACATGAAACATGCAGTGCCCCTAAGTTCTTCAAACATAGACAAGACTGACAGTCACCTCGTAAACAACAAGCAAGCACTCTGCCTTGTCGAGCCTGCCCTCCAAGTAAGAAATTAATACACACAATCCTTGAGACAGTTATGAACTTTGAGATTCCTCCTACAGAACTGATGAGTAAGGCACACCAAATTCGTCTCTGCTTGTTCAAATCACGGCAACAGTATTCCCTTGTCCACTTGCCCTACAAGTGTCAGGCTGGCCATAGGGAGGTACCAAATGCAGCAATAATGCCCTGAGCCGGTGCTGCCAGGTCGGAAGGCGGGAAGTGGTCAGCTCCTGGCTACCACTAGCGGCCAAGCCAGCACTGCAGTCTCACTCAACACCTGCTCTGTACAAAGCGCCACCGTCCTGTCCAACCACTCCGAGCCACAAACCTTGCCCTAGAGCTAAGAAGGATGATTCCACTGTGGGTCCTGCAGCTTAAGGTCATTCACGACGCTATAGCAGACACATGGTGCATATAGAAACACAGGAATACTCTTGCTTCTGCACCTCAGCGTGACAGCAAGAAGGGAATAGAGACGTGCTGTTTCTCCTCGCTCCGTAAGACTTACAAAAATCGGCAAATTCCTTAAAAAACATAAATAACCAAAACCCAGTCAAGAAAAAATAGCAAATGAAATTTGTTCTCTATAACTATTAAATAAACTAAATTCAGGAGTTAAATCTTCTGACAAGGAAAGATCTGCTACTCCATCTCAGTGCTAAGAGAGTGTAACATGGAGGTCAGGAGGTGGTCGAGAGGTCAGATTTCCTCCCCAGGTCTGAGCAAGCTGACCGGGCACAGGTGCTTTCTTCTCTGAGAGCCCCGCTCTCCCACGCTGACATGTACTGAAACGCAATATCAAGTGTCAACGAAAGTCCAAAGACAAAGACCAGAGAGACGAGCTGACTGTTCTAAAGGAAGGCCGGCTGCAGAGCACTGTGGCGAGGAGGCCCGAGGGGCGGGAGTACCTCGTGCGGGGCCCCTTTGAACACACTCGCCGACTGGTAGATGCTCTCAGTCCACAGCTTGAGGTCCTCGTTCTCCAGCTCCTCCGCGGTCCTGTACAGAGATTTGGGGACCAGTCCGCCCTCTGGCACTTCACACTGCAAACGCAAACATGGCAGTGAAAGCTTTGAAACACACACCAACCTGTGAAGCCCTGACTTGCCAGCCAGCACCCATCCCACGTGCCCAACTCCTGGAGTCTGCCTAGAAAGGGAAAACACTGGCAAGGCGGTAAAATATTCTGTACTACTGAGCAATATATTTCCTAAAAACCACTTAAATATATGTGTTTTACTTTGAATAAATGGGAACAGTTGAGGCAGATTTACCGCAGAATCTGTACTAATATGCATGAGGCACTGGACTCAATTACAAAAGCTGGTTTATATAAGAATTAGAAGTATTTACATTGCACTGTAAAGGAAAATCATTATTTTAAGAAAAAGTTTTATTCTCAACAGCCACAGGCATTATTTTTATGATACGAAATTACAGTCAAGATATATAATCAATGAATACAGCTTTGTGTCTAATCCAAGTCAAACGACCAGTCTATAACACCAGCAAAAAACTAATAAAGGTGAATTTCTTTTATATTTGCTTGAATTAGGTAAAGTTGAATTAGAATTTACATATACCATAAGTTTCCTTAAATGACCTTGATACAATGACTTCACACTCAAGTTCATAAAATCCAAGTACCACCTATGTTATCAGCCCCAGGAGGCAACGATGTGGAAAATAAACATAGTCTTCAACTTGTAGAGCAGCATGAATGGAAAATGTCACAGCAATGACAAAATGTTAGAAAAATACCAGACTGAACAGTGGTTAAACACCCTCTAGCCACAGGAAGCGGAAGTGAATGGCCTTCTCTTCAACACCCAGCCAGACAGCAGCTCAGGAGAGCTGGGAATCAGTTATAAACACCCTCGCTCACGAGCGTGTCTCAGGGGTCAGCACGTGACACGTGCAGGCATGATGCACCGTGAGCCAAGGCTCCTGCTCCACCTCAACTCTTCTAGTCGTGGTGAGAAGGAGCAAAAACAGGGAGCAGTTGCTTCTATAATGATAGCAGTTCATGGGTTTCTACCAACTTGACCCCGTGGTTTATCTCACAGGCACTTGGTAAATTAGTCCTATAATTTACTTCCTCTTTGCATTGTGCCGTGATTATGCCTGCAGTTTCCTCAAAGCAGAACTGATGAGCTGAGAGCTAACCTTGTATGTTTTCTTAATTTTTCTAACCATTCAGAAAGATTCCCCTGAAAGCCCAATTCATTAGCTAAATACATGAGTCAAATCCAGTGGGTACACATCTCAAAAAGCTAACTTTGTATGAAGGATGACTGAAAATCCTTTCTGATAAGAACCATGATTCCCTGCTGGCTTTAGCCGCCACCGTGTACCACGGAGCACTTCATTTGGACCCCTACAGTTTCCATGTCTTTAACCCTCCCATGGCTCGATGTGTGTTGTGGGCTGCAAGGGGCCCCAGGGCTCTCAGCTTCTCATAGCACAGGGTATGCAAGTGGAGGTCTTTGCCTCCAACAACTCAATGTATTAAAAACCCTGAACTTACATGAAAGAGAAACACTTCCCTTAATTTTTTCACTTTAAAAGTACTATTTTGATTTATTTATTGTCAAGGGAGAAATCTTCAGAATTGATTTGATTTTAACAGTATCTTTTTAGGCCGGGCGCGGTGGCTCACGCCTGTAATCCTAGCACTCTGGGAGGCCGAGGCGGGCGGATTGTTTGAGCTCAGGAGTTCGAAACCAGCCTGAGCAAGAGCAAGACCCCGTCTCTACTAAAAATAGAAAGAAATTAATCAGACAACTAAAAATATATAGAAAAAATGAGCCGGGCATGGTGGCGCATGCCTGTAGTCCCAGCTACTCGGGAGGCTGAGGCAGGAGGATCGCTTGAGCCCAGGAGTTTGAGGTTGCTGTGAGCTATGATGATGCCCCGGCCCTCTGGTCGGGGAAAAAGAGAAAGCCCTTTTCTAAAAAAAAAAAAAAAAGTATCTTTTTAATGCACAGCTCCTCTAAAACAGGTAAAAGATCTGATTCACACACAAAGCTAGGTGAATAAAGCAAGCTACAATTACATTAGATTCTAAAACAAATTTTCATTTGTATTTAATAATGAAGAAATGTGCATTATCGACAATTATCTAAATGGTTCTCTTTGGTTTAACCCTGGATCAGAGAGATGACAGCCAAGAAAAACAAAACAAAAACAATCCAAACTAAAAGTTCTCACAATTATTTGTGCAAACCAACACCCACCTTTCCTACCCTATAAGTAGCCAAATGTGCAGCTCCACGCCTGATACGTACCATGCACTCCCCACTCAGGAAATCTGGAATAATCTCTCTATCGATGTAATCCAGCAGGCCCCCAGGACCCTGGTAGTCATTTCCTGCATAAATGAGGAATTTCCTTCTGGTGTTGTCATCAATGAATGGACTAACCTATACATGAGGAGAAAAGACCATGTAGTCATGTTTGCTTTGCTGTCTGATTTTCAAAGATTAAAATTACAATGTGATATTATGAGTAGGACGGCGGGGGGGCGGGGACTTCTAGTTTGATAAACTTTTCTGTAAGATCCATTTGCATGGCATTAGGACAATCAGAAAAATTTTGCTTTTGTTCTACTTCTTAAACAATATGAAATATTTTCTCTTCTCATGCTTGTTTTTCCCTAACCGATTAAGACATAAGGTCACAGACACGGGCACGTAAATGCGTGCACATCTGCTTTCTGAATGGCTAGAGATGCTAACAGTTACCACGAAACAGGCCCCACACCCACCAGCGTCCAGAGGACAGGAAACACCCTAGGCGCCCGGAGGATGAGCAGGCGGCCCAGCGTCTCGGGGTAGTTGGCCTCCACCACCTCGATGATGCGCAGCAGGGCTTTCACTCCCGGCCTCCACAGGTGGCGCATGTTCAGCCCCTCCAGGTCCACCAGGCAGGTCCATGAACTGCAGGTTGCCCAGAGAAGTGTTTTATTCAATAGATGGCATATTTAGCAAACTGTGTCCTGTATTTGTTTTTCTTTTTTGTCATTGATAGCCATTTCCAAATATACATAACTTTTGTGAAAAGTATAGTGACATGAACTCTATATCTACTTGAGTGAAACACTAGAATCATTACTGTAGGACCAATTCTTGAATATCAAAACAATCAACAGCTGATTGACAATGAATAAAATTCTCTCTCAGACACGCTCAGTGATCCAGCAAACAAGGCCACAACGTGCTGTTCTAGACATGCTAAGCCACTCCCCTGACCGGCTGTCAACAGGGCACACATCTGGCATGCTAACATGCACTGTGTTTGAACTGCAACGAGCTATTCTTCAACAAATATTTATTGAGTCAAGCGCTGTCTCAGGAGCTGAGAATATAGCAGTGAGGAAAAAACCCTCAAAACCCCTCCCCTCATGGAACTTACACCCCAGTGAACCACCTATATACGCCCTTCTCAATGTCAGCCTCTGAATCACTGCACGTTTTCAAAACACTTCACAGTAACTAGAAGCATGGTTCAAAAATACAGAATAATTCTGGGGAGAGGGGAGGCAAAAACGAACAAGCAAACAGCCTGCAGCCTGGGCTTCTAAGGACCACGCAGGCTAAGCAGACAGGCCGCACCCCACCCAGACTGACATGACAGCAATGCCTGGGGGCACAAAACATACCAAAACCCAGCAACTGCCCCATACCTGACCATATTACATGTTTATCTATTTTCTACCTTTTAGAACAACTTGGAAAACAGTAAACTACCAGATTTTGGTTCTAAAAATCAACTAGAAATATTTAAGTCATATTCTCAATAAGCTGAAAGGAAAAACAAAATCCCATACCTACCTGATAGGGCGACCAAAGACTTTTGTGTTTTCCTCACACCGTCTTAGCCCTTCTTCATTTATGGAGAGAACCTGCGCATGAAAGGGCCACACAGAGTCACCACGACTAGTCTAGTGAGGGCAAAACTATTGCATTAAGCTACGAAAGACAGTGCCATTAAGACAGTGTATGATAGGTAAGCGTGTAAACCAAAAAAGTCATCTATTTAGATTTTCTCACACATCCATACACACTAAACATATCACCAAAAAAAAATATTTCACTCTCAAAAGAGAATAAACACTAACGTCTATGGCAAAGGTACCAGCTATCGGAAGTGAAGTAAGGGATCAGAGGAGTCACCAGATGAGCAGGGGAGGACTCCATCTGGGGACCTGTCTTCAGAACAAGTGCATCTGGGGGAGTAGGAGATAAGTGTCTGTGAAGCGTGGGAACATTCTGGTACCACACGTACCAGCCAAGAGAAAAGGCAGTCTTAGAACAGACTCACAGCTTGGCTTCAGAGAGCCCTTCGATTTACATTAACAAAACCTTCCCCGACGGAAGAAGTCCGCCCATACTTTCGGGCGTGTGTGTGCATGCATGGATACGCACGTATGCGTGTACACACACACTTGGTGGGGGAGGGGGGCCTAACAGAATATACAACAAAATGCCACCAGCAGGTATTTTAGAATATGAGATTATAGATGTGCCCTAAGTTTTTGTCTACTCTTCTCTGGGGAGGGGAAACACGCCAGCTGTGGCAGAGGAAGGGATGGCCTGAGTCAGGGGGAGGACAGGTCAGCAGGCCTTTATGACGGTCCAGACGCAAGACGCTAAGAGCCTGCGTTAAGGACGTGCCAGTGGAAAGAACGTGACGAAGAGATCTGACATGAGTGACATCTCAGCAGATGGGGGTGGAAGGTGGGGACCAATGTGACGTGGGAGTGAAGGGAAAAAGACGGCTCGGAGTCAGCTCCGTAGCAGGCGCCGGGAGGAGGCACGCTGTTTCACTGATGCTTCCATGGTGAAAAGCATTTTTATGACTTTTGTGTCCTTTGTTGAAATTTTAAAATATATTAATATTTCCTTTCTAACTATAAAAGCAATACACGTTTGTTATAACAGATCCATCGTAATAAACCAATCCTGCTGGCAGGGAAAGGACGTGTGGAGCCAAAATGGAGCGTGGCGTGCCCGCAGCCACGCACTTACATATCTCAGCAGGGCTTCCTCCCCGAGGGCTCGCACCAGGCCTTTGGTGTCCATCTGTCCCAGCCTGAGCACATACAGCGGCCGCCCGTCTGCGGGGAGGGGAAGGGAGGGTATTATCAGCGCCATCCCTGACCTAAAGCTGAAGAAACAACTCTTAAGAACCTTAAGGAAATGTGTTCTCCTATATTCCAGAGGAGCCTGAAGTTCTTTCCCACTCTTAGAAGCAGCGACTGATTTCTGTGTGTGGTGGTGTGTCCAACATTTCCCCCAAAACAACCGTAAAAGAAAGAGTAAGAAGCAACTGGCGTGGCAGCTGAGCAGGGTGCTAGAGACACGGCTGTGCTTCGGAGAGGGAGTGGAGCTGGGGCCCCCGCCTGGGCTTGGCAGGAACCGCCTGTACTGCCCACGGGCTGGGCGCAGTCCCCTCACTTAAACAACCAGGACTGGGCAAGACCCCTGATTTTCAACAGCAGGGGACACCAGAACGTCCATACACACTTTTCCTATGAATACAGAGCACTTTTAAAATTTCTCTTCTTAGAAAAATAATTTATTTCATAAGTTACTAAAAAGTTAATGTCAAGATTTTTAAAATGCCAGCCTCCCTCAAAACCCACTATAAGGACCAAGATAAATGAGAACATCCTTGAAATCCCTAAATCCATACCAACCAGCACATGGTGGCTCTAATTCTTCATAGCCTAGAGGTCTAACGGATGGAGCCTGAGAGGAACCCAACTCATTATGAATGCGCTATCATCAAGGACCAGCTACACAGAGGGGAAAAAGATCTTGCAGGCCAGAGTGTATCCCTGGAGTCAGCACTACCTAGCCTGCTGCCACTCAGTGTCAAAAGGGAGTAGCAGAAAGAACACAGACGGATCGCGGTCCTGAAAAGGAGCTAAGACTTGTCTTCTGTCATTAATGGAGGATCCAGAGTGTCATCTCGACACGGGGGCCGGGGGTGCTGTAACATTCACCTTGTATATATCACCCAGTGAACTCCATATCCGAGGAGAATCTGGCTCTACAATCATCCTACTTAAAGAATAATGGTTTTTGCGCCCCAAGACCTTGTTGACAGGCCAATTTATAAAAAGTTTCTCCTAACATTTAATAAGACACATTTGTCAGTGCCTTACTATCAAACTTTTTAACCCTTAAGGGTTGGGTCACAAAGCAGAGTAAATACAAATATTATATGCTGCCAGTAAAAATTAATAAAGCTACAATTAATCTGGATAAATACAAAAGATTAAGTCAGAAATACAGACACATCAGAGCCCCTCAGTTCTGAAAGGGCTTGCGCAGAGGCAGAAGGGACCAGGTCTGTGGTGACCCCTCACGGCTGCCCTGCAGTGCCCGTGATCCCAGCCTGTCCAGCACCACGCTCTGGACCAGGAAACAGCGCACCTTTGACAGCGCAGGTCCTTCCTGCAAGGCGTGATACGAAAAGCAATTCAAATGAACTGTGTTTTCAATTTCTCATGTTTAAAAAAGTTTTCTTTTTATTATATTTCTCATTTAAACTATCTTCATTTTAGGTGTATCACTGTCCTTCATCTATGCTTTACTTACTCCCCAAAGCAGCACTGAAGTTCTTCACTGTTTTGATGTAAAATATTAAATACCTGGCTAAACATTTTTACAGCTACTATAGGGGTTTAAGTCACTGAAAAGCTCCTTAATTAGCACTATGCCACTGAAAAACTTCTGCCACAGATATTTCAGTGTTTTTAATAGGTCAAAACTAACTCCACTGAACTAGGGAAGTGAAGTCATTTCCCAGCATGATTCCAGTCCCTGAGAAGCAGCAGTCGCAGGCCCCTCCTTGGCTGCCCAGGGTGGGATGGCCGCGTGGCCATGATGAAATTTACTGTCAGTGTCTTCGAGCTGGGGAAAGTTTCCAAATTCTAAGAGTGAGGAGGGACAATGCACCCATCTGGGCTTCACGTAGCTTATGGAAGGTCGTCTCTAAGGGCATCTTTAACGACACATCCAGACAGACACGACAGAAACACAGCTGCACGTTCACACACACCTTTGTCGTGATGGTGCCAGCCTCCCGCATAGTAATCCTGAAGGACCTGGGGAGGGTTCCAGGTGTCCAGAATGTAGTCTACCTGGTGCTGCTTCCGCCAGGTTAAGGACTGACACATGATCTCTCTGGCTTTGTCAATGTTAAAATCCCGAGCACGTAAGAACCGAAGAATATGCTCATCTTTTGGAATCTATTAAGAGAAAAAGATGTTTCCAAGCAATGTTAAAAGTTGCTAAGGGAAAACACCAAGTTGCTAGGAGAATAAGACTCTAAAACTCCCACTTCTTGTCAACAGTGAGCTGCTTTATTATGCTATTCAAAAGTAGCTGTTACCAGAAAAATCTTCCTTAACACTTTAGAAAACCAACATTATTAGTCTGAATAATCTTTATAGTATTCCATTTTAGTTTCAGCACAGTAGAGTGAAGGCATACATAATTTCTTAAGCAAACACTTCAATTCCATGAACTATCATGAACCTATGAACTATGAATCTATGCCCTTTTCTGTGTATATATCACACTTAAATAAAAAATTAGAACATAAAAACACGTTGGTTTTGGTAATGTGGTGTTGCTCCTAACTTACAGGAACCTTCCGTAGATTCCACTACTGTCAACTGATGGGTCAGCCTGCCTGAATAAAGAACAAGACCAAGACCGTGTTCTAAGTCTCGTGTGGACCAGGTACCTTCCTCCATGGCTACCTGCCTACGCATGCAGATGACTGGTACACTGGCAGACCAAGAGAGTGCGCGCAGAGCCCACTCACCACCCCACTCTTGGGAAAGCAGCTCAAACCATGTGACCTACTCATTTGGCATCATCTTCACTCAGAAAGGACCAGTTATATGGAGGTGGTTACGAATGCAGGTTCTGGAACCAAAAGGCTTGGGTTCAAATCCTGACCCACCACTCGCTGTGAGATCTTGGGCAAGTTACTTTTCTCTGCCTCAGTTTCTTAATACGTAAAACAGAGATGATGAAAACAGCACCACCTCATAGAGCTGTTGGGAGGATTTAATAAAAAGCTTAAAACAGGGTCTAATACATGATACACAACAAATGGTAGCTACCATTATTGTGGTTATTTTCTCGATGACAGGTATTGAACAGTACACAGTTATTCAGTCTCTAGTAACCAGGATTGACAAAATTAGAGATTAGGCCAGCTACATGCAATGCCTAGCTTCCCTTTACTAAATAATGTCAGTAACTTGCTACACACACGAACCAGCCTCTGCTTGCTACAGAAGACTTATTATAAAAATTTAATTCCTCATGAGGCTAAAATTTCACCAAAAACTTCAAAATTCAAGCTCAAACATTTCTAATCCCTGAACTCCTTTTAAACCTCTGAAAATTTAAATGTATGAATATTTGGGACACACTATTGCTTTATAACTTGACATTAAACTAGATCATTCTCTGTAAAGTCTAGAAAAATATAGCTAATTATATTTGGAAGGGTATATTATAACTTGCCACCAAGGACTCAGATGCCACACACAAGATAGAAATTCAAAGACTTTCGGTTTGGAAGGAACATTTCCAAGTATGGCAATTGGGAGTATCTGCTCTCAGCAACTATGGATGGGACGAGAGAGTCTGCAACTTCATGCGGCCACCACCCCGCATGATGGTGCCAACACTCACCTTGCCCTTGTGGGTCTCCTGGAGCCACTGGCGAAGCCTAATAAGGCAGCTCTCCTGCAGTGGGGTCAAATCACCCAGGTATCTCTTGATGTAGTCTGCATCTAGTTTGTCTGGAACACAAGTGACATGACATTATTTACAACAAAGAACACTACACTTTCCGCTTCTCAAGTCCTCCTGCTTAGTGAAGTTAATGCGTGTTCCTAGATTCTCAGCGGTAAAGGAGACTGCAGAGATGGCAGATTTAAACCAGACACCCTAGAGAACTTCAGTGATAGTCTTTAAGATCAAATCACTGACTAAACCACAGGTGAACTTCCTGATTCGCCAAGTCTCGATACTATACACAATAGAACAATGGCTTTAACGGATATTTAATGTCTGTTTAATTCCAAGTTATACAGAGAGGCCCTACATGATGTACATATATAAAAGCAGATCTAAATCTATTTTGAATAGAGCTACTATGTTCAAGAATACAAGAAATCTTTTTCATGATAAGGTAACAAACAGGAAGAATGAGATAGCAAAATAAGTACAACAAAAAAAAATTCACAAGGTGAAAAATAAAATGTATTCTAAACCATCTGCCCACACCCACCATCTATTGAAAGCTAACAAATGGCGTAGTTTGGCTGTAGAGAATAATGTATAGAAATAGAAATACCAGTATCTTAACAAAACTTCTGAGTGGCAGAATTTTCTTGTGTTTTCTTATTTTTTATGTTTTCTGAACTCTGTACGATGGGCATTACCTTATAATTAAAAATAAGAAGGTTATGTGCACGTGTACGTGTTTGACAAACACGACACGCAGCACAGGCGCTAAACACAGACCTGGGCTCAATCCCGCCAGGCCGCTGCCTACCAGCGTGACACTAGGCTACTTACTCAAGTTCCCTGCGCCTCAGTTAACCCGTATATACAATGAGGATAACAAGCATTTCTACCTAACAGGACCCATCGTTACCTGAGTAAACAGAACAGTACCTGGCACACAGTAAGCATACAAAGTGTTAGATGATGTTATCACTGTGCTGAGAGGACTGTTGCCTCACATTCACTGAAGGTACCTTCACCTAACATAAATGAGAAGAAATAATTTTCCAGTCTCAATAAAAGAATAACTTGATATCACTTCCTGCCTATTAAGAAAATCGAAGAAAAAATTAAAAGAGTATATTATATAAGCTAGAGGACAAGGGCCAGAAACAAAAGCTGGATCTTTTCTCCACGTGCTATCTACCATCCCAAGGAAACAGAGCAGGCGGCAGCGTGAGGGGAGGGAGCAGACGCCGCACTCCTCCCTAGTCCAGCTCTCAGAACCCAGCACCTTCGGGACCTACCGTCAGGAGTCCCCACCACAGGCTCAGGTGCCCCGCCAGGGCTGCCGAGGGCCTCGCCACTCAGCCCTTCCTTAAGGGCAGCGTCTGGGATGACGATGGCCATGGCCGCTGCTTGTTTTTTGCACGATGAAGATGATGATGACGATTCTGCAGAGGGTGTGATGGAAGGTGGAGTCCAACGGGGCACAAAGGTTATGCCTTCTTCTTCCAATTGACGAAGGTAGTATTCAATGATTTCTTTTCCCTTTAAAATGAAACCCATTTTAAGGTAAATATATATTCAATATTGAAATTATTCAACCCTTGCAAGTTTTTAAAACACTAATAAAACTGAATTGTTATAAAAATAAATAGGGGAACAAAAGGCAAACACCCTTACATTTTTTTTTCTTAGCTATTTTACTTCCTCTTCTCTGCAAGTTTAGGAAATAATATCTAAAGAGATGGAACTTTTTATAGGACTATTTTAAAACACTGATTTATTGTACTTGTACTCAATATATGCTTTATGTCTCAGCCCAAATTCTTTCTAATACAGTACCCTGAAAATAAAACAAGCCTTCGAAATCCCGTACAATATATTTCAAAACCATGATGCCATAATAACCAGCAAGCAGCAGCACACAAACAAGGAGGGAAGGTCTTTCCTGCAAGATGAAACTAACCATCTGAGGGCTGGGGACCCCTGTGAGCCTGCCTGGTAAGAATCTCATCAGTGCAACAGTACTGCAAACCTGGGTGGGACCTGGGGTGCCATAAGCTAGCTGCTGCTACTGTACCCCAGCTTGCAACTTTCCTGGCAACCCCGAGCAGAGTGCTGTGGGCAGCAGCTACATGCGCCTCCTCCCTCCATCAGCACTAGCAAGCTGGACCCCTTATACCGGAAACTGAGGCACAGGCAGGGTCAAAGTCTCCTTTTTAAGCAATGGCTGACTCCTCCCCAGCCTTCCAAAAAGACTGCCAACCCGTCATTTCAGAGAGAATCCCAAGATCAACTCACTTTTTTAATGTTGCTGGTATATTGTTTCATTGCAATTTTTTCCACAGTACTTTCAAAACCAAAGAAAGATTTAATATCTAAACTCGCAGACTGTTCAAAACAGGTCCAATCTTCATTTTCAGGGTGAACCTGCAGATAGAGAGAAAGAGTCCCACTAACTACACTGACAACTGCATTATCGTCTGTCAGCTCCTCAGTTAACTGGTAACCAGAAGAAACACGCATTTTACTAAAAATGTCACTACCATGAAAACAGCAGAAAAAAATTATACAGTAAGATTCGAAATCATAAAAATATCCAAATAATTTTTCCAAAATATTCTAAAAATGACCATAAAAGGAGAGCTTCATTTTCATTCTTGGTTCCTTCATGCATTCAACATACTCGTGCTGTGCGTCCTCCATTATGAACAAAAAAACCCTTCCTCTCTGATGGGGGACAGAGGATGAACCATAAGTATTACAGATGAGAAACTACATGTCTTGGAAAATAAGTGCCATGGAATAAAGAAAAGCTGGAGCAGGGTTATAAGGACCAGGGTGGGGCGGCAGGCTGCAGAATTAAACAGGGCAGTCAGGGATGGCTTCGTGGAGGCAGCGGAGAGGGAGGGAGTCAAGCAGAGATCTAGACAGAGCAGTCCTGGCATCGCCTCTCGGAGCTAAGCCCTGGCAGGGACCTGCCTCATGGCCAGGGAACAGCAGGAAGGCCGGGAGGCCTGTGCACACCAAAGGAGGGACAGGAGAGATGCAATCAGGAGAGAACGCAGAGCCGTGTAAGCCACTGGAAGGACTCTGGGCTTTTCCTCTGAGTGAACTGTGGAGACATTACAGGGTTCTGAGCCCAGGGAAGTGATGTGGTCTGACATACTTTAAATGGATCACTTTGGATTCAGTGTTGAGGATACCCTGCAGGAGGGCAAGGGCAGAAGCACAGAGACCTGGCAGGAGTTACTCTAACAATCTGGTAAAAGAAAATCTTGAACCAGGATGGTAAGCAATGAAGATGCTAAGACAAATAAACGCTCTCAGCTCTAATCTAAAGGTACACAACATCTTGGTCCTTCAATATGTATTTCTAAAGTATTGCAGTGGGACCAGAAAAGAAGTGGCTTATGAAAGTAACAGTTGAAAGCAAATCAAGGCATCACTTGGCTGCCTTAACTGCCACAACCATGTAATCCATTCTGCAGGAGACCACACCTGCTACCCTCCTGATCTCCCTAGTCAGAAATGAGTAACAGTATCTGATGAAGTACAGCCCTCTAACACAAAGAGATGCACTGTCTACAACAGTGATCAAACAATCCTTGTCAGCACCATCTTGCCATCTTCTGCCAAATGACGGAGATTACTCACGGTATAGCAGCAATGCTCGTTAATGATGACCCGATTGGAAAACGTTTCATTATGGGCCTCGATGTGCAAAGTACGTTCCCGAGAATTCAGTGAGTTTTTCTGGACAAAATAAACATAATCAACTCCGGCAATCTTTAAAGACATAAAGAGAAAAAAGGTTTATCAATAATACCCAACTGCAACAGGAGCTGTAAGCGTAACTTCATTTTGTCTTTTGGGAGACTTGCTTCTAAGATGTCCTTTTCAGTTACCTTCTTCAGCAGTCTGGGTGCATCTATATCCAGTTTGCAGCGCCTTTCGATGACATGAATAGCCCCATCTTCACTCTTGAATTCATTCACAGTGTCACTGTCCACGAACATCGGAATCAAAGGACATGTAGGGAACCTCCTTTCATAGGCCTATGAATTAAAAAAAAAAAAAAAGACCAAAAAAACGATTGAACAAAGATACAGACAGTCTGTTGATATTCTCCCTGTAACAAAAGCATCTCTCAATAAATGACAACAAGGGGGCATCACAACTCTCTATGTCTTTACATCTGAAGCTTTCATTAAAAAAGAAAAAAACGGGCCGGGCACAGTGGCTCACGCTTGTAATCCTAACTCTCTGGGAGGCCGAGGCGGGCGGATTGTTTGAGCTCAGGAGTTCGAAACCAGCCTGAGCAAGAGCGAGACCCCGTCTCTACTAAAAATAG